TTGCTCTCACATACCACCTGAGTTTTAACAAGTGGTCAGAGCTGAGGAGTGGGGTCAGGCTCGCCCTCTGCCTCTCCTAACTCCTTTCATGGATAATGATCAGTAGCATCTTGGACAAGAGGATTAGTTTCTTGTGCTGGGCTGAAAAACCCCGGATGGGTCTTCAAATCATCCTCAGTGAATTGTTGTCTTAACTCCCTCTCCCTTATAAAAGCATCCTGCAGGCTGTGCTGGAGGTTTGCTGTTATTTGTCTTTCATCAACCAAAGCCCACTCAGCGACTCGCCACTTTTTTCGTTCAACCTCCAGTTCTGCCTGCAACGTTTCAACAAATTCTTGGAGGGATTCACTGGCTTCTCGATCTGTCCTTTTTACGGTATGTTTGTCCCTTTGAGCGGCCACTAAGGCAGCTCCCAGGACGAGGCATATCACTGCTTTTGTCAGGTCTCCTGTCCGTTCCACCACAGTCACAGGAGATTGCCAACATTCCTTGGCCCAGCTCCACCCTCGGGGCATCGAGCAAGCTTTGTATTCTTTTAACAAACTTAACAGTGGGGAGCAGTCAAGATCAGGCCTACCCCAGGCTGCTGTGACCTCCTGCCGGGGATTTCAGCTCCAACTAAAAATCCGTTCTCCTTTCTGCAGCACTCTGGCTGACACTCCTTTTCACACAAAAACCTCTTTACTGCTTCTCACAGAGAATCCTGCAGACTACACCAAATTTAATGTCCCATCCCACTTGGTGGATGGCGGGGAGGTGATCATTTTCAATTCTCTGCGCAGTACCCAGCAGTCACGACAATGACTGGAGAGGCTTGATTACAAACAAAGCTTTACTTGGAACTCACTGGAATTACAAAAGATGGTAACTTTGAGACTTCATAATGACATTACTTTTAAGGCAGTGGGGTTAGAATGGATATTGACTTGACAAAAGGTACAATAAACTACAAAATACAACAGACTGACAAACTCATAACAACGCGTGCCTAGAAAGTCAGAGATAGAGAGGAAAACAAAAAAGAAAGATAACAGATATCACCACATCTGCATCCAGCGACGACTTCTGCTGGTGGTCGGGGTCCTCCGGTGATGGGTGTGCATGCCTGCTTACAATCGCGTCGCATATTTATACACCAAAGTTACAAAAAGGTCCACCTAACTAATACAATTATTCCACCTATCTAACGCATATTCATTGTGTTGTGTAAGTAGGGTCACTTGCACAGGGATTGTGCTGAGCCAGCAAAGTCATCTACGCCTGCACAGGGGTCTCAGAGGGTCACTGGTGCTCATTTGGGGAGGAAGACCCCTGCTTATTTTGTCCTTTTACGGTCATGCATTGTCCAAGGACACCAGAGTTGTTATTCTTGCCAACTCCTTGTTTCACAGCCTCACAGCAGACGTAGTATGTCCTTGGTCAAGCAAGTTTGTAACCATGAGACATTCCCTATCTTGGAACACTGGCTGCTACTCGGCAACAACTCAGAGATTGTCTTCAACACTTTGTTTCTCCTCAGGGGAAGGGTACTGTTGTGCTTAGCCAGTGGGCATGGCGGGGCGGGGGTCTTGGTGGTCTCACACTCTCCCCCTGCCTCCCTGTCTATATAACATCTCAGAGGGAAGGAGGTGGGTTTCACAAAACGGCACCCTGCCTCCACAAGGTTGCGCTTGTCCACCCCAATTACTCAACAAAATGAGCAATTTCCCAAAGCACAATGCCCAATTCAGGAGTTTCCTTAATTCGAGTGTCTGTTTCTCGAGATGGATGATTTGAGACAATTGTTCACCTTGATGTGGGGCTCTACAGTCAGTCTTCTGGTTTTGCAGTGACAAGAGAGATCACTGTCACTGGATCACATCACACATGGTCTGCACCAAACTTTAAGCACTGCCAAAGGAAAGCAGCCCTCCATCCATCAACTGAGGATTTACTTGTCATCCTCACAGCAGCAGCAGCCTTGGCTTTCAATGTGCTGATCTACACAAGTTTTACTTCCTGATACCCACCCAGATTTCGTAAGATTTCTGACGCTGTACATCGACCAGGATTAACAGAAACCTAAACTTCAGGAGCACAAAGCTATCATACCCCAACCTATGCCGAGCCTATGGTACTAGTAAAGGACCTCTTCCCCTCAGTATCCTTCAGGACAACCCAAGTCTATCCTTAAAACATTTCTCTAACGACATTACCTAGTTCGTCAGTCTTGAGTGCCTACAGGCTGCAGCAGACAACAGGACTGAGTGCCAGAAAAACACACCTCTTTCTCTTTCACAGCAGCAAGCAAAGCAGCACATGCTTGAGAGGGCTTTCCAAGGAACCAGGATCTGCCCACCTGGAGTCACCATTTCCAAGCAATGGGAAAGCCCCGGTAGAGGGGGAGGCCACCTGCAGATCTGACTCTGGGCACGGGCATCAGTTGTGCTTTTTGTTCAAGTGCCTTTACTTGCAGAAATCACATCAGAACCAGGAAAAGGGTGGAATCCTGGTGTGTGTGGGGACCATTATTTGGTTCATATACGACATCAAGCAGCCCAGTAATTTTGTCACTACCTCGGATGGCAAAGTTGAAGCAGGATTCCGTCACAGACAAGGCATGATCCAAGAACGGACAGGCATCACCAGACACAGAGATTTTACCTGCCTGTGTTTAGTATGGCCCACAGCTCATACCAAAGCCATTTACACACCATCCCAAAACATCCCACTTCACAGATAGATCTGAAGTACTCAAAAAAATGGCGAAGCCTTTTTCTCCCTCCCTGTGCCCCAAAGCATGGCATGCAATTCCACTCACTCACCTTCATGCTCCACCGTGTTCAACAGCAAGATTCCAACAGCCTCTGTGGCCTTATATTCCAATGAAAAGCAGTGCTATGTTGGTTGGGGCTGGGGTGGGGGGGGTACCATAGTTTTCTCGGAACAAATTCTAAACTGGGCGACTGCACAAAAAAAAATAAAAATCTGCATATGTATCACATCCATTTCACAGGTCATTTGTCACAGCATCTGCTTAAGTGAAGAAGTTCTTCCACAACAGCTGAGCAAACATGTGGATGGATACAGGAGGACAGTGATTAATTCTCATTACAACCTCTAGTTCCTACAGAAATACAATAGAAGCTTAAATTTCAAGAGTATTGATGTCAACTTTATACACGCTAGCAGAAGTTTCTAACATGCAACTGGTTTAAAAGGATAATTTGTCTCTGCAGTCGCAGATCCAGACCCTGAAGAGAACAAAGATTTTAGACACCTATACTACAAGTCAGTATGAGAGTACCAACTCTGAAATCAAAACTAGCTTTCTCGACATCTGATTAATGGACCATCCTCTGTGGAAATTCGGTTACTGGCAACTCAGCCCACAGTTCTGAGCAGTATTTGATTTCTACTTCGAGGATAAACGTTATAAGAATTTAACCGTGGGAAACCAAATAACTTGAGACAGAACAGCGCTGTCTCATGACACTGAAGGATCAGCGCATCCTGCGCCTCCCTTCTCTGTTCTCAGGAGATAAGCTGTTTTCACACATCCAGCTGCAAAAGATCCTGAAAAACAGCAACCGTGAACCGTGAACTGGCATTTGCAAAGCCACGAATCCAAAGCTGATTGGCTCTAGTATTAGTATATAAGGTATTCACTTGAGCAATAAAATGCTTCTGATCGAGCACAAGATCGGGGTCCGTGAAATCATTCACCACATTTAACAGCTGAAGAACAAACATGTTTTCTGCTGTCAGACTTGCAGAACAATGAGAATATTTCAAGAGCGAGACGAGCGCTCCAACTGGAGTAAAGTTCTGCTTAGAGCAGCTGCAGTGCCTTGGGGAAAAAAAACGGGAAAAAATTACATTTGAACATTAGGATTTACATCCTCAAAGGCTTAATATGTATTTCTGCCTCATTCTCAAAAGAAAAGTGAGACTAAATGACCCTGCTGCCTAAAAATAAAGGCCACCAACTAGTTCCGAGTCTCTGCTGGACAAACAATTATAAAACAGATGATGCTGCACAGTCTTTTGCCAGCTTTCAGACACACAGGTACATTCCTCCATTTACTTCCCACCCCCCAGATATACATATATTTAAGGATGCAACAGTATGTAGTCATTTCAGTACTGTAAGTGTTGGCAAGATGGTTGGACTCGATCTTCCAACCTAAGTGATTCTACGGGGCCTGTTTTTTTAAGCCTCTATTCAAATTCAATGGTTCTTAAAGACTTATCATTAAATAATAAAAACAGCTGGCAACCAAGCAGACCTTGTTATCTGACTGTCTGCCAGTTAGAGTTAGTAAAAAATAAAGGTATAGTTACAGCAGTTCTGCTTTCCTCATACTTATCCACATTTAAATGCTCTGTTACTGCAGGGGTGTTGCATTTAAAGCTTTCTAAATACAACACTACAGCCAGAATCAACAGCATCAGGTATGCACAGCTATTTTCTCAGTTCAGATGCAATTCACCTATAGAATTGATTTTAAAGGTTCAGAAGGAGGGACAAAATAGGGTCACTGGATAGTTAACTGTCTCATTCCCTAATGAGATATATCTTCATCTCCAGCCTAAAGTGGTTTTAATCAACACCATATTCCCCAAAGGAAAAAAAAAAAAACAAACAGAACCTGGTAACACAGACTAAAGGACAGTATGTAACAGATGCTGCCTTTCAGCACTGCAAGAACAGTGGCAAACCTGTCTCCACGTGCAACCCCAAACCAACGCTGCTGGTGTTGAGTAGTTCAGAACAATGCTGGTAGCTTCTTTCTTTCAGCGGTGCTGAACCTACGCTCACTGATCATTCTGAAATTTTTATTTCCTTTCAGATTTTAGTAATCATTTGCACAAACACACCTTGTGCCCTGATAGTCTGGCAAGCACCAGTTCAGGGAGCGCCCTGTCCTCCCTGCTCAGCACTGTTTTTTACTGCTTCTTCCCCGCTAGGACTGCTGAAGCTGTAGAAGTTCAAGAAAGATGCCAGTTTCACACTTCATTTGAAAATTATTTTAATACTATAAAATTCATTTGTTCACATATTTTGTACAAAAGATGAGTTGTTTTAATTACAGGAGAATCACTTCAACCTTGAGATTTCAGCTAAGCAGGTCCAAAACAAAACAAGATTGGGTTCTACTGGTTCTGGCGAGTCCCAATACAGCTCACCCAAGGTCTCTTTCCAGTTTGGCTCTCATGGTTATGGACCACCTTGATGAAAAATATCCCACATCATTGACTCTTCGGAGGCTTGTAGTGAATTCGGCAACGCTCATTAAATACCTGAGACACCAAAACAGAAGAGCAAAAGGGAATCAGCCCCTATCCAGGAGATGATCAGAACTTCAGGGCCAGTTCAGGCAACTCTCTCTTCACATAGCATCCATCTCAAGCTGCCCAGCCCTGCTGTACCAATACACAGTACTTACCAAGACATTTGTCTCCATTCACCTTCTCTCCTGGCTTTAGTGAATCCAAAGTTTGCAGCCTGATGCTGGAGGACTGCACAGCACTAAAAGTTTTCTCCCTCAGATAAGGCAGGTTTATAATCCTGATAGTCTGTTATCCTCAAAGATGATGATGCCATTTTTTTCTTTTTTTTAAGAAGGAGAGAAATTATCAGTGGAAGGCTCCTGACCAGCTGTGTTATGTTATGTTCAATCTGGCATTCAAATTTGGACACTGTAGTCTTCTCTTTCCTGAGCAAACACATTTTACATTGTTGTGACAGCTAAAAAGAAGTGCAAGGGCTCCTGGAAGCCATATTCACACTTTTAGTTATCTGATCGCAGGTGCTGATGCTGCCAGCCCTCCTATTGCAAAGGGCACACTGCTCTCCCCTTGCTCACCTCTGGCACCCTCTCTGGGTAAAATTTAGCACACAGAACTAGAGAGTGAAGATCATGTTCATTGAGCTTGACCTGCAGGCCTTGTCAAACAGACTGCTTACCCTAAGGAGGGCCAATAAATGTCAGTATTTAAAGTAAGGCAGTCTGAATCAAAAGCACAACAGACAGGCTCACACCAAAGTTACAGGTGCTCTTTACAAGCAATTTAGCTGTTTATCGTTTGTACAGCACACGTCCTGGAAAGCGACACGAGCACCACCTAGCACCAAGCTGAGGGACTGGCAGTTACCAGTTCCCCCACCGGCACTCCTGCAAGAGCACGCTTTGCCAAGCTGTCCAGAGACCTTCCAGATCCAAATGCCTGTGATCTTCAGGATGTGAAGTTTGATGAACTCTCCCATGGGCTTCACAGGCAAAGGGAGCTGTCTTGTAATTTTGGAAAAGTTATGCATCACTTTATATAAATACATTACTTTAAACGGTATCTTCCTATAATCTTCTACTTTTACAGCGGATCTCCTTATTGACGGTTCAGAACCTATGGCAACTTCAGCAGAAGTGATGTTTGCAGCATGCATTAGTTTTAGCATTGATTCTTAACAATTTTTGAGTCATTTTCAACTTCTTTTCAGATTTAATTTACTTTAAGAAACAGACACGTATTTGAAACTGCTTCATATTGCAGAAAGCAAACGTCACGATACAGTTTCTTTCACGTGCATACAGACAGCCTGTCCCACTACATTACCACATGCAGTGGACACCTCCTATTGCTACAGCTACCCAGAGTAAGGGCTTGAAAATAACTTTGCTTCCTAATCAGATTTTTCCAATCAGTCTTCAGTTGGTTAGGGTTAATGTAAATAGGTGAGCAGACTTTACAACTAAAAGTCTGCAACAGTAAAAGCGTGGAGGTCCTCAACTGCAAACCAATAACCACTTCCATGTAACAAATTATATTCAGTCCAAAACTATGACTGAGTCTAATTCCTTCAGTGACATATTTTTACAGCCAGCTACATGAGAGATTTATGCCTATATTCAGACAGAGACAACAGCAAAGCTGGAGATAAAACCCAAAAATACTTTTCTGTTCAAGCCCTACTTTAAACACTAGCAGGCTAAGATATCGCTACAGCATGCATACCTCACTATTTATAAATGAAGTGTTCTCCATCTTCAGGAAAAACTGGACATTTCTGTCACTAGCAAAAGCTTAATACAGATACAGGAAATCACTGGCACCAGTGCTATCTTTCATATCAACTCTGGGCTTCAGAATGGAGATAGTGTGTGGCGGCTCTTCCCTCCATCCCTTTTAAACAAAACTGACAACAGAGTTGCCATAAAAAGTTTGCCACCCGTGACCTGCAGCATATTCTTAATGCTGTGGTGTTTCTTAGTCATATCTGAGCTGGCTTTAAATTAATTAAGCTTAAGGGCGTGAATAACTTTTTGAGACAGTACAGAGGCAGTACTGACAGCAAAGCATACGTGGAAAAAATGCATGGACGCTCATCTAATCAGCCTGCATTGAGCTGTATTGTGGTGACTAGAATACACAAGCTGTATTGCGTTTATGCTGATGCAGTCTAGAGGACCAAAATCTTCAAGTAGAGATAAAAAAGGGAGCTGCAGCTAGCACTAGCTGCTTGAAGAAATCCTTTTCGCATTTAGAGAGGGAAAGAGGTTCTCTATACAGTATTGAAAGCTCTGAAAAGCTACCACAAATGAGAAAAGGATGCTAGACGTGAAATGCTGTAGTGACAGAATACAGCCATCTCAGAATCTCAGCTCACTGTTAAGGTTGCTTTATAACAAGACAGTGTCTGGGGCCATCAGTCCAGAGGGTGATCTGTCCCCTCTGTTGATGCAGGAGAGCAAAGGCAAGGCTGCCCTTTGCACCAGGGAGCATCAGTCCAGGCCTGCAGAAGCTCCATCAGGAGAAGGCTCAGCTGCTACAGCCCCACCCTCCTCCGGCTTCTGCTTGCTCAAAATCACGATCAGTACCAAACACAGCCAAATCTGAAAGACTCATCCCTCTGACAGTGGCCAGCAAAGCTTTTCAGACAGGCCACCATGGAAAAGACTATCAAGTCCTTAGCCACTGGGCAAGGTGGAGCAAGGGATATACACAGGGAGTACTCCACAGTCCTTCCTCCCCCCTAAATCAGATGCTTTTCTTTCCTTTGCAGTGCAACTGGAAAGCTTTGATCTCCGCATCCAGAACTGGGAAAAGGACTGGCCTTAAACACTCCCCCCAGCACTGCCCTCACCTATTTCTAATTAACCTGCCTTGTCACGCACCAGTCCCACACCTCCAGTGCACGACTGTCTGTTGGGACAGAACATCATTGCTATTTCGAATGACTGAGTACCTTCCAGCTTCTGTCGTTTACCACTTCTTCAACATTCAGCTCCGACTGCATCAATTTCAACTGCAGAAAGTAACAGACAAAGAGGTTATGGTCAGTCAGGCCTCCCCACAGACTTCAGTATTTACTACCACTGCAACTTTCTAGATCACAACCCCAGTACCAGCTGTGCATCCCCTTGGACAGCGCAAACTGAAGGGCACAACGCATAATCATCCTGAAAGTCTGGCCCTTCCATTCAGCCAACACTGCGGGCAGACTTGCCAGCAAGAACTGCCACAATACCCAGTTCTTGAGCACTCACTCGACTCATGAGAAATTCAAGAATCTCTTTGTCTCCCACCTATTAGTAACTCCAAGGGCAGGTGTGACAGTTGTGTGCAGGTGACCTGCAGTAATTTGACCCTGCCTGGAGGCCCTGAAGCAATAGTAGGAGACATAAGAACCATCTGCCATTTTTGCCTACATTTAGGATGTATTTTTGTTGGAGTCTTTAACGCAACAAAGAATCAGAGTTTATCCATTTTAAATACACGGTTCCAACTGGAGAGCTGGTGAAGAGATGTATGCCAAGACAGCAATCCCACCAAAAACCTTCCAACTAAGATGTCCAAACACACACAGCTAATACAGCTGCTGGGTGAACTTTGACCTACTCAGCAGGACCCCAAACTGTCTGAAATAACAATCCAGCATCCACACGGTGACTAGATGACCAGGATTAGTCCCCATTAAATAACCACTCAGATCTTTAGCAGTTCAAAGCAAGGTTTTTCCTGCTGGAGGATGTGAATAGGTTTACAGTCATTTGGACTGTCACATTAATTGCCTTTGACATGGAGCCTAAGGAAAACTACCGTTTTAGCCTTTTCCTTAGAGTTGCAGACCTGAACAGCAATACAGTGTCAATCAACATGGCTACACAGGGGAATTTGTTGTTGTCGTTTTTAAAACTCTGACATTTTAACAAGCCTTAACTAATTTGCTTGATAAAGCTAACAATCCTTTTGGATTTCCAGAATTTATTTGGTTGGATATTTTATGACACTTCACTCAAGTAAACTAAGACAATAACAAACTAACACAAGAATCAAATTATGTTTTAATGTAAGAGGATTAAAAGAATTGGCTGCTAGACTGACACTACTCCAAGTTTTCTTATTCAATGACCCAGAAGTAATAACTTTGGATAAAGTCCTCCAATTTATACCATTAGTAGGATGACAGAATGATGAACAACAAGAGAAAACAGATCTGTATTGCAAAGAAGTGAACATACATTGGAAATGACTGCTCTTAAATGTAGGACGCGTTCTGTCAAGATAGCCTATTCGAGCTGTAGAAAAAACACAACTCTCACGCATAATCAAGAAAACAAAAAAGGGCGGGGGGACTATACCTCATAAAGTCCAATTCGAGCTCACCTCATCAAAAGATTTCTGGGAGGTTTCCAAATCATGTACTGCTTTTAACACTTTAAATCACCTCCAATTATTAAACATTATCATTATGATCCTCCCAGTAGTTTCAGTGATAGGCTTTGGGCACAGTAACTAAACAATTTAAAGAACTGGCTCTGCAAGCAGAATTTGTAGAAAATACTAAGCCACCATTCTAGTTTTCCAAACTAATATGGATGCTTGTTAGCAGTTCTGTAAGTGGGACTTCAAGAATAAAACCAGTTGCCTGCCACCTGGTACTTTAAATCTGAGCTCATGACAGAGCACTTCTCTGAAGAGCACACGAACAAATAGTTCACTCACTCAATGTCCAGAAAAAATCAGACGCTTGAGCTCAAATCATCCCCTCAGGAAGCTCTTTCACTACAACTGGATCAGCACCCAACTGCTCTTTGAAACAGGGGCTACAACAGGCTCCTCTTGGAAGCACAGGGGTAAGTGAATTTTGAGGTAGTTCAGCACTGCAAAAGCAAAATTTCAAGACCCGTCTCTTCAAGTCTCACAGTACTGCAGCAGGGAAAGCCGCACCCAGGACACAGGACCACAGAGCTATATCTACATGTGATGGTGGGATGTGTGGCGGTTACGAGAACTCACTGTTACACTGGAAACCCAAAGGCACCGTTTTAGAAACCCTGGTTAAGACAGTCCTGAACAGAGGAGGGCTCACTAAACCGCTGAACACAACAGACACACCTAGCCAGTGTATGCAAAAAAAAAAAAGCCACAAGCAAGCAGGCTTATTCTGTATGTGCTGCATGCATATTACGTGGGGAAAAAAAAAATGTAAAGTGAACATGAGCCACACAGAGCAGGTCTGGAAGAGAAATCAGTGGAACAGTTCATGTCCCTGCTAATCTCCAGTCCCAGAGGTACACATGCACTATTCTTTCCCCTTTCCCCTTTCCCCTACAAAGCGGACCCCGGAATGGGGACAAAAACTTCAGTGTGGTTCCCTTCTCCACTTCTGATATTCCACCTGGATCACCTCTGCTCACCTCTGGTGAAGTACACTTTCCATCCAGAGGCCGGAAGGTTGAGAGGGCGTTTGCACATTAGAATTCCTTATGCAAACCCAGAAGGCTCTCTCACACCACCACAAGGTACTCAAAAAATCAATCCAAGAAATACTAAACACCAAAAAAGTTGGTGAAGTGGAATTCAAGGTTGTCTGGCAGCTCCTCGTAGAGGACAGGAACTCCAATTAACACCTCGAGTAAGAACGATGCTTCTCAGGGTGGTGATGGAAAGGGACAGCTTTAACGCTGTGTAACGCTGTGGTGCAAGAGGCATACACAAAAGCCGTACTTTATTATCTGCTGGTGTTTGCATCTTGGCACCCATACTTGCCATTTGCAGATAGACCGGTTTTACAAGACTTCAAAAAGGCCAAATGAACCTCCGGGCATTTTGAAAGGACTAAGCAAGCCTCAGGTCAGCTGTACGCTCAGTGGTGTTAGTCAGTGAAGGTTAGAGTCCACCGTGGGGAAGCACATGTGGTTTTCTACGACGTTTGTGTCATAGGATCTCAGAAAATGCTCCAGCTGCAGCTCTGTCTTGAGGACTGGGGAAACGGTTGTCACAAACTCAGTCAACATGAACCTCAGAAAAGACTGCCCGAGTCAGGATCCACTCCAGGTTCTTTCCATCACACCGGTCCTTCCATTTGGGAAAGACACCCTCTCCTTCCCCTCTAAGCGATCTCTAAAAAGCTCCACCACTCACCTTTGTCTGCTCTTTCCTGAGCTGCTTTAATAACGCTACGTCATCCTGGGCCTTTTCCCTCTCTTCTCTGAGAGTTTTCACTACACTGGAAGTCTGAGCGATGCAGTTTTTGATGATTCTCTCTCTGCTGGTGTGAGCATCCATCAACTAAGTGGGAGGGAGAGAGAAAGTCACAACGGCTCAGCAAAGAATAAAAGCCTCCATGTTACAGGTTGAAATAGAGACTTTCTAAAGTCAAGGTATTGCTGTGCCTACAGAAATCCCTTTGACTCTGTAATCTCCGTGCCTGTTGGGAACAACACCGCCCTGAGCGGCAGCTACCAACTTGATCAACAGTCAAAGATACACACGAGCAGGAGTCTGGCAGCGTAGTGCAACAGCGTGCCAGCACCCATTTTTAAAAGAAAAAAAGCAGACTGGGCTAATGCCCTCCACCGAAGCCTGCAGTGCGCCTCAGAGGATCGGCGGCTGCAGAACAAATAAGCTCCCCGTGTGGTTTTAAACCGACGCAGCCGTTACACGCACGTGGTTTAGCTAAGTAGAGAAGTCGAGCACGCCAGTTATGAATACGTAAAGCACCGTATAAACTGGTGATGTTTTACTGGCCAGCGCACATAAAAAACATCAGGCAGCGAGCGGAAAGCCAGGGGAGCGCACACTCACAGACTGGTACAGCTCTTTACACGTCTGTCCGGCATCAACCTTCCCCACAAAGGAAGCTGTTGGAATCGTAGTGTTCAGCTCGTGGACGATTCTGTCGTCGATCGTCCTCATCACCCTGAGCAGCTCCTGTATGAAAAAAAAAAAAAAAAAATATTTGC